TCTCTCTCTCTCTCTCTCTCTCTCTCTCTCTCTCTCTCTCTCTCTCTCTCTCTCTCTCTCTCTCTCTCTCTCTCTCTCTCTTTATCTATCTATGTACCTGTATTTATATTTGTTACGAGCACACATTCATATAAGCCGAGTTCGCTTCACTATGTTTGGTTCATTTCAATCCTTCTACAGAGATATGACTCATTCTATCGCACACACACACACATACACACGCACACGCACATACACACACATACACACACACGCGCGCGCGCATACACATACACACACACGCACACACACAAACACACACATACACACACGCACACACACACACACACACACACACACACACACATACACACACACACACACACACACAAACGCAAACACAAACACACACACACACACACATACACACACACACCCACACACACATACACACACGCACACACTCACACACATACACACACACACCTCCACTCTAGGGGTACTGACATATCACATTTGCAACATTTTTCAGTTCCTCTATAAAGCGAAATCACAGAAAAAAAGGAAACAAAAATCATAAAAAGTCATCTTTAATCGACCTGTGATGGGGAAGAGGGAGGGAGGGGGGAGAGGAGAGGAGGGGAGAGGAGAGGAGAGGGAGAAGGGGGTGGGAGGGAGGGAAGAAGGAAGAAAGGAGAGAGGTAGGGAAGAAAGGAAGGAGGAAGGGGGGGAGAGGAGAGGAGAGTAGAGGGAGAAGGGGGTGGGAGGGAGGGAAGGAGAGAGGGAGGGAGGGAAGGAAGGAGAGGGAGGGAGGGAGGGAGGGAGGTAAGGAGAGGAGGGAGGAAGAGAGGCAACTAGGAAGAAAGGAAAGAAAGAAAGAAGGAAGGAAGGAAGGAAGGAAGGAAGAAAGGAAGGGGTAGAGAGAGAAAGAAAGAGTAAGAGAGAGAGAGAGAGAGAGAGACAGACAGAGACAAAGACATAAGTATTACAAGGTAAACAAAAAAAAACAAAAAAAAAACAAAAAAACATTTACTCCTGACAGACAAATTGGTCAAAAAATCATAATTGAAGACAAAAAAGTTATAACCTGAACCAAAGTTTTCTTTTCCTTTTTTCTTCTTCTTTTCTCTTAATTATCAAAAGATTCTTTTTTTCTTCTTTTTTTCTATCTTCGGATCAAAGCCAAAGAGTAAATTGTGCTTTGCCTTCGTTTGATTTGAACATTCGGTTTTAAAAAGAGAATTTGCGGTCTGGAAAATTTGTGAGTGAGTGAGGTAGTGAGTGTGTGTGTGTGAGTGTGTGTGTGTGTGTGTGTGTGTGTGTGTGTGTGTGTGTGTGTGTGTGTGTGTGTGTGTGTGTGTGTGTGTGTGTGTGTGTGTGAGTGAAAGAGTGAAAGAGTGAAAGAGTGAAAGAGTGAGTGAGTGAGTGAGTGAGTGAGTGAGTGAGTGAGTGAGTGAGTGAGTGAGTGAGTGAGTGAATGAGTGAGTGAGTGTGTGTGTGTGAGAACGTGCGCGTATATGTGTCTGTACTCTGTCTTCTTCCTTTCTATCAACCTGCCCATCTATCCGTCAGTCCATCTGCTTGCCTGCCTACATCTGCCAATACTCCTATCCCCCCCACACACTCCCCACCCAACCCCCCCAACCCCCCCCCCACACACCCACACACACACACACACACACACACATACTCACATACACCCACCCACCCCCTCCCCCCCCACACACCCATCCCCCCCCACACCCATCCACCCAACCACCCACCCACACACAAACATCCACCCCCCCCCCCCCACACACACACACGCACACACAGCGCTTACCGTGTACAGGACGTTCACCGGATCCGCAACGACCATGGTAGGGGAACACTGGCTGTAGTTCGTCCACGACTTGTTGCTTCCTCCCAGCTTGAACCACGACCCCTCTCGAGTGCAGTATCTCGAAGCTTCACTCTGTGTGTCGAGAGAAAGGCGGGAGAGAAAGGGTTAGAAGATATATATTTTTTTTTTTTTTTTTTTTTTTTTTTCTTTTATGGGGGGAAAAAAATCGTGTTTTCTCGTAATGATGGGAGTTTTTCTTCTTTTCTTTTTCTTTTCTTTCTTCACTCCCGCTTTCTCGACCTTTCCTCCTTTCCTCTCTTTTTTTTTGCAGTCTCTTTCCTCTCTCCTTCATTTCTCTACCCTTTACTTCCTCCTCTCCTCCCTTTCTTTCTCCAATTCTCCTTTCCTTCCGTTCGCCTCCTAATCTCTCCTCTCCTCTTCTTTTTCCTCTTCCCGCCTTCCTCCTTCCTCCTCCTCTTTCTCCTCCTCCTTCCTCCTCTTCTTTTTCCTCCACCCTCCTCCTCTTCTTCTTTCTCCTCCTCCTTCCTCCTCCTCTTTCTCCTCTTCCTTCCTCCTCCCCTTTCTCCTCCACCCCCCTCCTCCCCTTTCTCCTCCACCCCCCTCCTCCCTTTTCTCCTCCTCCTCCTTCCTCCTCTTCTCCCCATCCCTACATCCCTTCCTTCCTTCAAAGCCACAAAA